AAAAAAAAAAAAAAAAAAAAAAACGTCGACGAGTGATGCTACAATGGTAAAACTCGAGAGTGAGGAGAAGAAATCATTAAAAAATGAGACGACGGTGTACATAAACGAGATCACGATCGATGGTACAACGAAGACTATCTAAAGTAGTAAGTGGTCACAACTTGTGGAGCACGCATAATTTGTAACCAGGGAGGTGGGACGACAAGAGGGAAATACGAAGTCGAGAGATAGAAAAATGAAGGCTAGTCGAGGTCGATTCCTAGGACTACACGAGAAGACACTTAAATAATCATTTTAATTTAATTTTATACTTTTAAGCCATGAAATTATAAAAAGTAAAAAGAAATTAAAATTACAAAATCTGAAATTAATGTTCATATAAGGAAATATTTTCCTTTTGTGAAACCCCCAAAGGGTCTTCTTCTATAACAGCAAACTAAGAACAGAGAGATTTTACAGTGATTGAATCAAATGGGTAGAAGAAATCGAGAGCGTCCGAGAAGAAGAACACCTTCGATCCAAGAAGTTTGGGCTTCCAATTTCGATCATGAAATCCTCCGCCTCGAACGCTGCCTTCAAGCTAACCATATCCTATCCATCGACACCGAATTTCCTGGGTGCATTAGGAGCACCCCATGGGGCTCGATCGATGAACGCGTCTACGAAGATCTCCGCTTCAACGTGAACCAAACGAAGTTAATTCAACTGGGTTTAACAGCTTCTGATGAATCTGGGCAAGTCGCCGGCTCATGGGAGTTCAACTTCTCCGATTTCGACCATCAAATCGACACTCAAAATCCTTCATCGATTGCGTTTCTGGAACAGAACGGGCTGGATTTTGCGAAGCTCAAGAAGCAGGGGATCCCCTTAAGCCTATTCACTCTAAACTTCTCGCGTATCATACGAAGAAGCCGTGTTCGTAAATGGGTCACATTCCATGGATTATACGATATTGGGTATCTTGTGAAGGCAATGGGGGTAGCGGAGGAGTTGCCGGAATCAATGGAGGAATTTGCAGAGATGGTGGCGCGTGGAGTGGGGGTTGTGAGGGATTTGAAGGAGGTGGCTCGGTGGTGCGAAGGGCTGGAACAGGGGAGGGTTGGGCTTGAGAGACTTGGGGAATTGCTGGGCGAGAAGCGGTTTGGGATGAAGCACCATGCTGGTTCGGATAGCTTGTTGACGGCTTTTGTGCATGCGAAGATGGCGCGGTGGTTCCGTTTGGAATCAGAGGCGTATGACGGCCATTTGTATGGGCTTCGGAACAAGCTCCAGTACATGAATGAAGGTGAATCAGAGGATCATGTTTGGACAGATTTCTTGTTCACTGTGGGATTATGAATGATTTCTATGAGTTTTGTTTATCATTATCATTAGTTTTGAGTTAAGATTTTACACCTCTAATCTCGTGTAAGGGTCGGAAAAAATCTTTAGGATGAACTCCAAATTTTGGTTGTATTGATTTAGTTATCGAGTCTTAAATATTTTTAATGTTTATAATAATTAAAGTTAAAATAGAATTTGGTTTGTAACTTTATTTTGGAGTTGGTCTGGATTAGACTAAAACATGATACAATCAAATAATAAGAAATCCAACTATGAGAGAACTCTTACATGAAATAATAAGAAATAGTGCAGTAAAATTTAAATTACCTTGTTTGGAATTTGAATTACTGTCACGCTTAATGATTCAACCTATCACCATTGATTCTGTCACGCTTAATGATTCAACCTAAACTAGGTAGAATTGAAAATAAAGCACAAAAACTTTTTTACTGTATTATTTTAAGTCTACCTGCAAATACAACATACATGCCTTTATCTAATCTCAAAATAAAACTATTAAATGCATTCCTGGTAACGTTCTTACTCTATAATCATAATTAACTATGTAAATGTAACTAAACTAAATAAAAAGTTTTAAAATATATTAATGAAATACAATAACTCTAAATTATTCTAAAGGGTAATCCACTCAAAATTTATAACAATTTATTATCTCTAACGTGACATGAATTGAAATATTTTTTGATAATTTCAACGACATTTTCTTCACATAGTTGAAATATATTATATGATTGATGTCTCTTAGTTCATATCTGATACAAAATTTTCCGTTTTCAAAAAATTTAACTCAATTCAATTAATAATAATAATAAATAATAATAATCTAACCTGACCTGACCTAGATTGGATTGCCTGAATTGATGGAGTTATCAAACCTCTGAACACCCCTAATCTCGAGTTTTCACAATATTTACTTTTAATCATCTTTGTTAATTTTCTATTAATTAATTTAATTATAAGTTTTTGACTAATTTTCAAGATAAAAAACTGTAATATTTTGAAAACTAAAGAGAAGATAAAAATTAACTTTCAAATTTATGAGTGAAAATAAATATCTTTCTTTAATAATAGTTACAAAATCAAATACAATTTGTTGTTAAAAGATTAAATAATATATTTTATTGCATTTTAACAGTCTAAATACAGCTGTAATTTCTTGTCTGATTTATTAAATTTAATTTAAAAAAAAAAATCAGCCTTCCTAGGATAAAAATATTATCATTTTCAAAAATTCCAACAATCCTATATTTTTGACGCCAAATTCAAATCTACCGCTTTATCTTCAGGCTCTCCTATTAAGATAAGGAAATTCGAACGGAATTATATTTCTGCTATAAATATTCTCCATTCGTCGCATATCGAAGAAGTTTGATTCAACGAAGAACACACACAGCAAATTCAAAAATAAAAATAGAGAGATTTTCGAACGTAATGGATAGAATTGTTCGAGGCCCGAGAGGAGATAACCCTTTGATTAGAGAGGTATGGGCTTACAATCTTGATCATGAAATCATTCGGCTCGACCGTTGTTTGCTATCGTACTCAATTATGTCGATCGATACTGAATTTCCTGGGTGCATTAAGAGAACTCCTTGGGGCACGTTTGATGAAGAACTCTACGCAGATTTTCGATTCAATGTCAACCAAACCAAAGTGATTCAACTAGGTGTGACAGTTTCTGATGAATCAGGGAACATCGGCGGTACATGGGAGTTTAATTTCTCTGACTTCGATCCTGAAATCGACGCTCATAACCCTGCGTCGATTTGTTTTCTGAAACAGAACGGCTTGGATTTTGGAAAACTGAAAAAAGATGGAATTAAGGTTAGAAAATTCGCAATAAGATTCTTATATACGTTGGGAAAGCATGCGATATACCGGTGGGTTACATTTCACGGATTATACGATATTGGATATCTGATGTTGGCGATGGGTGTGGTTAAAAGCTTGCCGGAAACATTGGGCGAATTCAAATGGATCGTGGCGAGGAGAGTGGGAACCGTGAGGGATTTAAAGCATATGGCGCGATTCTGCGAAGGGCTTGAAGGGGGGAATTTAGGACTCGAGAAATTAGGGCAATTGCTAGACCAAAAACGCTTTGGATTGAAGCATCACGCAGGTTCTGATAGTTTAATGACTGCACTGCTTCATGAGAAGATGTTGCAACGGTATGATTTCCATGCGGAAATTTGCGATGGGTTTTTGTATGGGCTGTCGAAGAAATTCGAGGAGCTCGTGGGCTTGCAAACACATCGCATATATGTTCAAATTCAGTGTGCGAGAGTGAAAGCTATGGTGATTCATAAGAAGATGTTACAACTGTTTGAGGTGGAAAGTTGCAATGAATATGAGCTGTCGAAGAAATTAAAGGAGTTCGAGGTCTTGAAATCACACTTCAAATTTGTTGAACACGAGTATGAGACGGCGCAATTTTGTTATTACAAGGCTTGCAACATTATGTACCAAGGATTTCATCTTTGATATCCATTCTAGGTCTTTTTTGTTAGCCGTTTGAGTAGTTTAGGTAGATTTTGCTTTTGATTTTGTAATTTTGTATAAAGTGGTAATAAAACTCTGCTCCATTTGCAAATTTGGTTTTACTCAAGATCCACCGCGAGCATATATTATCTTTTTTGGATTTCCACTCAACGTTTTAAAACGCGTCTACTACGGGAAAGTTTCCATATTCTTACAAGGTTGTTTCGTCTTCTCCCAACCAATGTGGAACATCACGATCCACCCTCCTTTGGAGCTAGCGTCATCGATGGCACTCGTTAACATAAATACCCATAAAAATTGTACAATCCACCATTCATGGGTTCAATGTTGACAATATTATACAATTGTGCAGATCCGTGATTCCTTAACATAAATACCCATAAAATAAAAATTAGAGATGAAATACGTATAAACATATGAAACTAAGTTGATATAAGTTTAAGAAGATCAAAAAAGGAAGCAGCAAATTTTTTAGTTTTTTTCGGTGTTGTTTTTTAATGGATCATAAGAACATGATCGAATTCGGAAGGTTTTTACTACTACAACGGCTCTAATTTAGTAACTACCAGTGGTGTTCGGACCACATGCTTTCCATCAGACCAAGAAAGAGAACCAAAGACTGCACCCACATCGCCTAGTGTCAGATTCGGGTAGTTGGCTGATATGGCCACTACGAAGCTCTGTTTCTTCACCGCTGTTGAGAATGCCAGTTTTGACGGCTTTACCTTCACCGTCGCCCCTTTCGGAGCTTCGATTTTAGCTTGGTACACCGAATTCGCCGCCCCCACGTTCGTCGCCGTTCGGATAAACGATTTTGTGGACAACCCTTTTGATAGACTGGAAAACACAGCTACGATTGATGGGTAGTTCAAATTCTCTGGCAATGGCTTCCTCGCCGGACATTTCACCGACGTTCGAGATATGACCTGGATCATCTTCGCTCCGTAGCCGATTGAGCATAGGAAGTTGACATAATCGGTGTTTGTAATGTCGTAGACTAGTCCAGGGTCCATTGCAAGGCCGAGATTCACATGACCGGCACCGAAATCGTACGGTGTTGAAGCTTTTCCGGTGGATTCTTCCGTCGTCGGCTGTCGTCGGTTGTCAGTGATTCTTGCGGTGGTCATCATGGCGGATCTTACCGCCGCCGGACTCCAATCGGGATGTGCTGATTTCAACAGAGCGGCGGCTCCACTTATATGAGGACACGCCATTGATGTACCTGATAAGATATTGAACTCTGTTTTTCGTGTATCAAAGTCTAAACCGGTTGGGCCGACGACGTCTGTCCAAGCGGCTAAAATGTTAACCCCTGGTGCGATCATGTCCGGTTTTAGAATTTCAGGGTTTAATCCATTTGGCCCTCTGGCAGAAAACGAAGCCACCACCGGCGCCGGTTTGATTCCGATTCGTGTGCCTCGGAAGGCGATGGTGGCGGTGGGATTTCCAGAGGACGATGCGTAGGCTTTCATGGCATCGCCTTCTACAGAGCCAACGGCGCAGGCGGGAAGGATATGGGCATCACCGACGAGTCCTTCGCCGTTTGAAATTCCATTCGCCAGAATCATTCCGACGCCGCCGGCCTTCTTCACCACCAAACCTTTCTCCACTCTCGGGCTACTTCCTCTGTCGCAGATAACAATTTTTCCGGTCACAATCTTAGGGTCAAGCGAACTCTCCATACAGAGCGAAGCAGAGAGCTCCCCTGATTTTCCAGGGTAAACCAACGGATACATTGTACTGTTCAATGGCGCTCCGGCGTACAGAGAAACGCCGTGAATCTTCCGTCGGTTTCCCATAATCACCACCGCCGGAAAATTTCGGTCAATCGTACCAGCTCCGACCGTCGTAATCCACGGCGCTAAGTTCGTCACTGACATCCCATTGGGTCCATCATTGCCAGCCGAAGACGAAACGAAAATGCCCCTAGAAGCGGCGCCGTACGCCCCGATTGCAATTGGGTCAAGATAATACGGCGTGGAAACGCCATCGCCGCCACCAATCGAGATCGAAATGACATCGACGCCGTCCTTAACAGCAGAATCAAACGCCGCGAGAATATCGGAATCGAAACAACCCGAATTTTTCCAACAAACTTTGTAAACCGCCAAACGTGCCTTAGGGGCTACACCCTTCGCGATTCCCGAAGCATAACCCTCCAAACTCGCCTGAAACGCGTGACGCCCAGCCGCCGTCGATGCCGTGTGAGTCCCATGGCCGTCGGCGTCTCTCGGAGATCGGTACTCAACGGTGTCGTTAATCCCAATAATCGGACCAGCAGCGTTGGCCCCTGCTTCGTGACCCTTAGAGAAAAACCTCGCACCGACGATCTTCCTATTACAGTTTTTGGCCGTGAACTTAGTTCCAGTCTGACAAACCCCTTTCCACCGGCGAGGAATCGGCCCCAAATTCACATCGGAGAAGCTCCGCCGTTCAGGGGAAATCCCAGTATCGAAAACTCCAATGATTACATCCGACCCATAATCGGAATCAGACCACAAACCACGCTGGTTTCGAAGGCCGAGAAATTGAGGGGAACGCGTGGTGTGAAGCTGACGGCGACGGTCCTCAAAGACAGCAAGCACAGAAGGGTGTTTTCCGACGGAATCGGCTTGCTCTTGAGTGAAAGTTGCAGAGAATCCATGAAACACGGTGTCGTAAACATGGAGGATTTTGTGGGATTCGGCGAACTCGGAAGTGTACCAGTGGAAATGGGTGGGAAAAACAGAGGGTTTAGAGAAACTGTCCACACGGAAGATGAAGGTCTTCAATGGCGGATCACCCGGAACTGTAGAGCCATGGATTAACAGGAGGAGAGAGAAGAAGATGGAAGAGGAGAGAGAAGCGTCGAAACAAGCGGCCATTAGAGAGTGGAAATGGAACTGAATACGCCGACGAGCAGAACTGGGAGAGGGGGAATATAAAAGAGGCGACTGTTTAATTCTTTTAATTTAAATTAATTAATTGTTAAATATAAAATTAGGAATGAAACGACGCCGTTAAAGGGGATTTGATGAGTCGGCGTCTTTTAGTTGCGGGACCGGTGGAAAGTACAATTTGTCGCTAAACGACGTCGTCTCGTAAAATATTATTATTATTGCTATATTTCAAAATTATTTACTTAAATTCAAATAAAAGGGAAAAGTTAAAAAAAACTGTGGGGTTGCTTTCGTAAATTTCTAAAACTAGATGGGTGTTTAAGAAATTATTTTTTAAAAAGGGGGAAAAGTGGAATAATTGATGCATTAGCTTGCGTGGATGATAATAATGAATAATGTACTTAATTTTTAATTTAATGTTGATTTTTTTTATATAAGAAAAATAGAGACATGGATATTTGATGAGTGATAGACCAATGTACATATTTAATGCATGATAATTAGTAGGTAGGTCCGATTTAAAGCATGACCATTCTTTTTACATAAATTTAGATTCAAATAATTTAAAACGTCTTTAATTAATTATATTATATTTTGTAAGTAAAAGCTTTAATTCTTTAATGCATGATAATTATATTATATAATTAATATGAGTATTGTCTGGCGGACAATAATTAATTATTATTAAAAAGATCGACAATTAAAAAATATTAAAACAACTCAAATAATTAAATATTTACGTCAACTCGAATTTAGCTCAGGTAATTGAAACGTATATCATCGATAAAGAGTTCAAATATTCGAATCTCACTCTACACCAACGTTGAAAAAAGTCCGGGATTGTGGAGAGTGCTTGATAAGCACGTGCCATGAAGCGCGTGGCATAAGAAAGCGTGCAGTTTTTTTTTTTTTTCTTTTTTTGCCGAAAGTAGGGAAGAGCAGAGTGAAGGAGAGGAGATCCTGTGGTAGTGATCTCAATGATCAATGTCATGTTCCCATTCATCCAACCGTTTATCGCCACTAGACCCTAAATCTAATGATCATTCGTTTAAATGGACGGTTCTGATCTCATTGGATCCCACACTGGTGGGTCCTAGACTCAGATAGATATTTTTAGATTTTTTTTTATATAAAGAATATTTGCTGGAAAGTTGGATCAATGTTTTTTTCGTGCTGGGCGCTATTTTTAGTTATTTATTTAAATTAATTTATTTCCGCAGTAATAAATTAAGGTTACTTAGTTATAGGGAAAATAAAAGGCCAAAAACAAAATTTTGGATGATTCTTTGTAATAATAATCTTGGCATTTTTTAAGAAAATTATTTTTTAATTAATAGGTATTTAAAAAATAATTATAAAATTAGATGACGATAAATTTATTAAATAAAATTTTTCAATAATTGAAATTGTTTTTTTATTGATGAATCAAAATTTAAGGTAGCAATGTCAGCATTTGGATTTTGAGGCCCATGACATCTTTGGTGTCGATTGTTTTGGGCCTCTCAAGGGGCCCAGTAATTAATCATAAACGGGCCTGTGGCCTTTATAAAATTTTATGTAAAATTATGGGTTACTTTTCATTTTTATATTAAAGGTTACTTTTATCTTAAAAGACAAGTTTTTTTTTTTTTTTTTTTAATTATTTGAAATCTTTTCCTTGTTAAAAATACATGCATTTTCATTTTCATTTAGTTTAATTGGATCGAGATATTAAATTATTGCTCAGAATGTTAGGGGTTCAAATCTTTATTAGACAGATTTTTGAACTAAAAAAATTATTTAACATAATATGACACGTATATGTATGACTTAAATACAATTATAGAGCTACTCAATCATATAATTTAAAAAGGAAGGACTTATTTATAGTATGGTACTAATAAGCAAGTAAAATGTCAATATCAAAGTACAAAGAAGAATTAATTCCTCGTACCAATGACATAAATAATGTAAATCGGCCAATTTAAGCATAACAATGTATAAAAACACATTATTATTATAAAAGTTGTCGGTTTGATCTTCCACTTTACAATTGTTGAATTGAGAATTTCACTTATTTATATCTTTAATTACTCTCAAAATATAATGATTCAAAAACTATTCCTCAAATATTTTAATATAATCGACTAAAACATTATATTATGAACTTAAAATATTACCATATGTAACAAAATGCTAAAAAGGAAAAAAAAAATCAAATCATACCAAAAGAAATATATATAAAATTTTAGGTAAATGAAGGATACATGTCAAAGTCTCAACTAATTAAAATATAATGTCCTAAATCAAAAGGATGACAGTTCAAATCTTCATCCAGAAGTAAACAACAATAATAATATACATACATATCTAATATTTCAAATTTGACCCTAACAAGAAATTAATGTTCAATGTGGTTGTTTATTATACAATAAGATTGCTGATCATTATTATGAGTGAGTCTCACCTTAATTAATTTAGTAGAAGATCATGAGTTTATAACCTGAGTCCCACGTTGCTCCATTGGTTAATTCAATAGAAGATCATGAGTTTATAAGTGAGGAATACTATATTCATTGGTATGAGACCTTTTGAGGAAGCCCAAAACAAAGGCACAAGAGCTCGGGCTCAAACTGGACAACATCATACCATTGTGGAGAGTCGCAATTCTTAACATAAATGTATGAGAAAGAATATGAGGGTAATTTTAAAAGAAAAAAAAAATGTACCATACATTATTTGTAACTATTATTATTATTTTATTTAGTTTTTTTTTTGCTGAACCTCAAACACATTTATGTTGGTAAGTCATTATCGGTGATTAGCCACCAAGCAATAATTGCTCATGTTGTCACACAATAAAGGATACTAATATTTAGACCTTATCACTAAAGTGTTCCAATGAATCATTATTTTATAATTTCATGCGTCACATATTCTAACTTCCATTGCAAACAAACAAATGATTATGATATGAATCAATTATTTATTTAGGAGTCTGTTCGTGAATTTTTTAAATTTTCTTTTAATATTTCCATATTTTCATCAAAATCAACATTGAAAACATGATGAAATGTGCAGATTCAAGCTGAGATAAACATTAAATTATTTCTACAGAAGTGGGGAAGGAAATCTTAAGATGGCAAGAGGATAATACACATAAATAAATTACAATTTAAAGATCAAATTACACACTACATCAATTATCAGCAGCAGCTCACCTTTTCAAGATCAAAGCCAATACAAGAAAAGGGGCTTTGATTGTCCACAACATTAGTTTTTATTTTTACTTACATTAGTTCCCGAAAAAGAAAAATAAAGATGAACAAACAAAGAAGGAAAGAGCAGATAACATATAGTGATTAGGAGTGGTCATTGATTATTAAAAAACGAAGTAACAGATGCCTAAAGAACGATTGATTAGCTATTTTCTTTTTCTAATTCTTTTTATCTATTTGGCTCTGTCCTTGATCACATCGATCCCCATCTCAGTTGGATCGGTTGCTTGGACCTCGTAATGTATACCTTCCAGCACTCTCCTCAGTCCAGCTTTTGAAGTTGCGTATAGAATTTTTGCTCTAATTCTTGATGCGGTCGGTGACCTGCACCAGATTTTTTAACCGAAGGATCAATTTCTGTTTCAGTTCTAGATTCAGATCCGTCCTCCAAATCCTTGCATTACAGTGCTCGAGTGATAAATTCTTTGTCGAGAATACGAATAATCATATAATCGGTTAGTTTTTCCAGAGAAATTCGATTTCAGATGTGCGATTATACTGTTCTGAACATGTAATTAGTCAAGATCTATAACAGAATTAGGGTTTATGAATTTGAGGAAACTTTGAGTCCGTTATCAAAGTTCCCGCCCAAACAGAAGCGTATTTCGCAAGATTCAAGTAATCAGAGAGAATTGGACGATTCAACTGAAGCAGAGGTTAGATGAGTGAAGAACGGACGCGATCGACGAAAAACAGAGAAGAATCGAGCAACATACCAGGCGATGAAGAAGATCTTGCTCTTCCGGCAATTATCAATGGTGACGAAGTCGAAATCGAACACAGCATACCGACAGTCGTCGGTCGGCAATGAGGCGGTGAGATCATCGTAGCTTTCTGCCGAACCGCCGACCTTGTCAACAGTAACCAACCTCGATCCTTCATCGATCTTAAAAACAATATACCTATGCACCTTCTTCCATTTCATTTCCATGAACGAATTCTTGCACTCATCGCTCACCCACATTCCAGTGGTCGCCTGAGATTCGCCATTAACAAGATCAAAATTCAAGAATCAAGAAAGAAAAAAGAAGAAAGAGCAACAATCGGAGAGCATAAATTAATACCATCTTGAAAGCCATCGCCATTGCGAATTTGTGAGGTCTCGTCCGGAACTGCTCTGAGTTACTGAAAATCGACTACCTTAGAGTGAAGAGTGAACGAAGTCCGTGGCTTTATATAACGAACGCCTTACTATAATGCCCTCATCAATTGCACTTAATTACGCTTTTGTCCGCCATCATCAAACCATGTGTGGATCCAAAAATTTCACCCCTTAAAATTATATAATATTAAAAAATGTTCTAAGCTTAGATATTGAAATTTTTTAATTCCTTTTTACAGATATTCATATTATATTTAATTCAATTTTAATTAAAAATATTCTTATAAATTAATATCCTATTTAAAAAAAAATACTAAAGTGTATTTTTCAAATACTTTTGAAAGTTCGATAAAAATATTTTTAAAAAATAGTTTTTTTTTTTAATTTAAAAATATTATTGAAACTTTGCGAGTAAAATATTATCGATGTAATAAAAAAAAAAGTTAATGAGATAAATGAGGCATTGAATTATGCAAAGCAATGAGGCATAAGAAGACTAGGTTCAAGTTGGCCATTATTGTTATTATTATGATTCAATGTTTGTTCTCTAATTTCAATGCTTTATTGCTTCTAAAAAAGTGTTTTGAGCTTTTCCATGAATTTGTCTGGTAGAAAGTTCCGGCCATCATTCCATTGTGTGGGGATGTAAGGTTCGAGACGACGTG